CAAACTTGGCAACTTTAAGACTTGTGGACTTCAACTCCCAGAATTCTCCAGACAGCTATGTTTTCTGGAGAATTCTGGGAGTTGAAGTCCACAAGTCTTAAAGTTGCCAAGTTTGGGGACCCCTGTTGAAACAGATTACAAGCATCTATGTTGAAATTCAAATGAATAGATATTTGATATTTTCTATTGCAAATCCAGACAACGTTCTTTTATTTTTAACATGTACATTAAATATTTTTTCAGATTAGATTTTTTTTTAAAAAAAATCTTCCACTTTGCTGGACCAAGTTATGGATTTTTCCAAACTCAAGTCCTATTTCAAACTCAGACCAAGCTTCATGATTCTGTGAGGTTTAAATGTTATAAACCAGGGAGTTCCAGATGTTATTTTAATATTTCTTACCTAAGATATTGTCCTTTTTTGTGACATATTTAAAAAAGACACTTGTTTTTTGAATGAATGAATGAATGAATGAATGAACAAATGAATGACTGAATGAATGAATCAGGGTTCTACTAATATATTAACTTTCGGGGTGCAGTTAAGGAAATGACTTTTGCCTCGACAAAAAAGGAGATCCCTATAGGGCAAACTGTTGGAACCACTGCTTGAACTCTTCTTTCTAACCCTGTTTTTCTCAGTAGCTGAAGACATCTTTGAATAAAGTTTAGGCTGCAGCCACTCATTATTTCATTTTGGTAGATTAAGGTTACAGTTATGGTTATAGTTAGGGTTAGGGTTAGGGTTAGGGTTAGGGTTAGGGTTAAGGCTAAAGCTAAGGCTAAGGCTAAGGTTAAGGTAGGTTGGCATTTGTAAGTGGTGCTCTTTCTCACCTGTATCATCTATCTATCCATCCATCCATCCATCCATCTATCCATCCAGGGGTGGGATTCAAAAATCCCAACAACCGGTTCTCAGCCCGGTTGCTGGGTGGTGTGGGTATAGCCATGGTGAGCATGGCCTACCAGAACTTCCAGGAGGGCCATTTTTTGCCTTCCCCAGAATCCAGAGGATTCCCTTGGGCCTCTGGGTCTGCAAAAATGGCCTCCCCCGGGCTCCAGAGGCCCTCCAGAAGCTGGAAACAGGCCTGTTTCTGGACTTCCGGAATTTCTGGGAGGGGCCTTTTTTGCCCTCCCAGAGCCTTCGCACAGACCCAAAACGGGCCCTGCATCCAAAATGGGCCACATGGGGGCTCCTGGGAGGCGAGGGGTGGGGTGGGCAGGGCCAGACAGTCAGTTCAACTACCGGTTGGGCAAACCAAATATAAATTTAACATCCAGTTCACCCAAACCGGCTGAATCCCACCTCTGAATCTCTCTCTCTCCCTCTCCCCCCCCTCCCTCTCTTTCTCTATCCATCCATCTATCTATATCATCTATCTATATAATTTATCTCTGTCTGTCTATCTATATCATCTATTTATATCATTTATCTATCTGCCTTTCTGTTTCTCTGTGTCTCTGTATCTATCTATCTATCTATCTATCTATCTATCTATCTATCTATCTATCTATCTATCTATCTATCTATCTATGTATCCATCCATCCATCCATCTCTCTATCTATCTATCATCCTTTTCCTGCCTTTATTATTTATTATAACTCAAAGTAGTGAACATATCGAACCTACCTTCCTCTTCCTGTTTTCCCAACAATAACAACCCTGTGAGGTGGGTTGGGCTGAGAGAGGATGACCGGTCCAAAGTCACTCAGTTGGCTTTCATGGCTTAGGATGAGACCTCATGGCCTCCTGCTTTCTATTCTGGTGCTTTAACCAGTATGGATGAACAAATGAATGACTGAATGAACAAATGAATGAATGAATGAATTGGTGCTCTACTAATATATTAACTTTTGGTGTTCAGTTAAGGAATTATCTCTTTTGCCTTGACAAAAAAGGAGATTCTGGCTCTATGCAATGTCCTGAGGCATTACTAAGACAAAAGGCCTCAGGGATATCATACAGAGCCAAAGGCAAATACTAATTATGCTTATAACTGATGCCACCTGTGGGATCCCCATTTTGTTCCCCATGGAACAAAAAATAAACACTGGTGGGACCCAAAGCCTTCAGTGATTCAAAATGTTTAGGGAAGGTTGAAAATGAAACCATGTAATCTCGATGCGTTCGGGATTCAAAATTGCCTCACCGCAGGGCTCAACGTGTCCTGATCCGATTCTACTTTTTCCTCCATCTTGATTGGGATTGTGAACAGTGGCACTTAGCTCCCTTTCCTAGAAGAAGGGACAGTGCAGTGCATCAAAACGACCGACCCATAACATTTTCAAAAGTTTGTTCAAAGGAACTGTTGTGTTGCCTACTTTGAGGTGTCTTTCCATTACAAACTCCTTGCCTACTTTGAGGTGTCTTTCCATTACAAACTTTCCATGGAACTTCCTTCCATCGTGTCTTCCTTCATTTTTCCTACCTACCTCATGAGAATGTGCCACCATTTTGTTCTCTTCCTTTGGAAGTTTGAACCAAGAATTCCTTGGTTAAATCTGGCAAAGAAATATGTAGACCTGTCAAGCATGCTGGCCATGTGCTGCCCTGAATTAAGAAGGCCATGTTTCTATGTTGGTTAGTCCAGGGGTCGCCAACCTTTTGGACCTCAGGGACCACCAAACTCATAATTTTAAATCTCGCGGACCAGAGACCCTGGGAAAATCCCCCAAAAAGTCTGCAGAAAATTCCCCAACCCATTTTCCTACCGATCAATCATTCTTTATTTGGGATTGCAGGATACCCTCCCCAGTTCCGTTCTCAGGAGGAGAAAGAGAGAGAGAGAGAAACTTTGGGCTTCGTGCAAGGAAAGCAGCAGAAGCAGCAGAAGTCTTTCTCTCTCTCCCCCCAAACTCTACCAGAAAAGAGTCTTTGTGAGACTTGTCGTGCCGGTGCAGCCTCTTGGAGCAGGATGCCTTTTCAGGGTCCCAAAGATTCATTTCTGGCGGAGTTTGGGGGGGGGGGGAGAAAGAAAGACTGCTTTCCTTGTGTGCAGCCAAAAACAGAAGAAAGAAGCAGAAAGAAGCAGCCCGGTGGCCAGGCCAGGCACGTGGGGCGAGTGGGGCAAGTTCCCCCCCTCTGCCCTTTCCCTCCTCCCTTCACTACCTTGTGTTGTTTGCAATGCAAGCGATGCAAGCCTTGCCTTCCCCTGGGCCATGTGGGTGGTGCAGCCTTGTGTTCCTGCACAGCCTGGATTAATTGCTTTTGGGGGTGACATTTCTCTGCGGACCACCAAAATTTTCTCACGGACCACCAGTGGTCCCCGACCCACTGGTTGGCAACCACTGGGTTAGTCTGTATGTTACAATGGCACCGGGGGGAAAATAGCTCACAAATGTAGCGATTCTCTGAACAAGGTTGTAAAATGCAAATTGTCAAGCCCCCGAATTTTGATCTCAGGACTGTGGGGATGCTATGACGGTCATAAGTGTGAGGATCGGTTGTAAGCTACTTTTTCAGTGCTGTTGTAACTTCAAAGAGCATTATATGAATGGTTGTAGGTTGAGAGACACTTGTAGACTTCAAGTATATCAGATAGTTGAGGGCAGAATACATAGAATACAATAGCAATAGCACATAACTTGTATACCGCTTCACAGTGCTTTCCAGCCCTCTCTAAGCGATTTACAGAGTCAGCATATTGTCCTCAACAATCTGGGTCCTCATTTTACTGACCTCAGAAGGATGGAAGGCTGAGTCAACCTTGAGCAAGTCAGGATTGAACTGCCAAACTGCTGGCAGCTGGCAGTCAGAAGAAGTAGCCTGCAGTGCCGCATTCTAACTCCTGAGCCACCATGGCTCTTAACAGACATGTGATGATAGCAATAGCAATAGCTATTGCAATAGCTGTAAAGCTATACTGCTTTACAGTGCTTTACAGCCCACTCTAAGCAGTTTACAGAGACATCCTCTTGCCCCAAACAATCTGGGTCCTCATTTTACCAACCTCGGAAGGATGGAAAGCTGAGTCAACCTTGAGCTGGTGAGAATCAAACTGTTGGCAGTTGGCAGAATTAGCCTGCAATACTGCATTCCAACCACTGAGCCCACATGACACTTTTATACCAAAGAGCTTGGTTAGAAAAGACTTATCAAATACATATCTGACTGAAATGTAACAGAAAAAGAGGAGCAAGCATGGTCCCACCACCAGGAAGTCAAGTCAAGTCCTACCAACCTTCTCAAACAACCACAGATCTCCTCTCTGATGAAGCCATCCAATCAAGGAGGATATTTGTAGCTCAGGGTTGAAATGATAAGTCCTTAGTGCTGTCTGAGCTTGGTGGTTTCCTTGCAGATGTTTCATTTTCCAAACTAGGTAACATCATCAGTGCTGGTCTGGTGATGTTACCTAGTATGAGTAATGAAACATCTGCAAGAAAATCACCAAGCTCAGAGAGCACCCAAGAAGCCAACTACCCTGCATTTCCTGCCTTGAACTGTCCAAGGTGCTGATGATCTCTTCAGCAACTATAAGGTCCTGAACAAGCAAGAGTTCCTGGGGAAGGTAGGTGTAAATGTTTGGTAAAATCAAGTAGGGGAGGCAGGAACCTCGGTTGTGTGAGCAATTTTCAGTATTAGATTACATGCATTTCTTTTTAATGAAGATGCTAATGTGATACGACTACAGGTATACATCAAGAAGTTTCAGGCTGCCTCCAAAAGTGTCAACATACACCACGGATTTTTAAACACATTATAATTGTCAATTGATTAAGTATTTATAAATTATCTTACATGTATCCTGTATCTTCATATCTATTCTGCTTTCCCCACCTTTCCCCGCATCTCATTCCAATTCAAATCCTACATCCTTCTAGTCCAGAGGTGGGGAACTATGGCCTCTTTTACGACATGTGGACTTCAACTCTCAGAATTCCCATGGCCAGCTCAGGAATTCTGGGAGTTGAAGTCCACACACCTTAAAGTTCTCAAGATTGACAAACACTGGTTTAAAGATTTCCCAGAAGAAACAAGTCCATCGTTGCACCAATTACAGGTGATCCTTGAGTTTAGTAACTGCTCAAAGTTAACAATGACACTGAAAAAAGGGACTAATGACTGACCCTTACACTTAACTACCCTTGCGACATTCCCACAATCAAACTTCAGATACTCGGCAAACAGGCCGGAGTGTTTTTATAACATGTGCTACATCCCGGGGTCATTTGTGATGTCCCAGCCAGCTTTCAACAAGTGAAGTCAATGGAGGAAGCTGGATTTGCTTAAAGACTCATTGAACAATTGCAGAGATTCTCTTCATAAGCATAGCAAAAACAAAAAACAAAAAATTCCAGGCGTGACTCACTTAGTAACGGCCTTGCTTAGCAATGGAAATTCTGCCCCCGGTTGTGGTAGCAAGTTGAGGACTACCTGTAGCCATTACCATCCTGTCCCATCAATGGGTCATTCTAGAGACATAGCTTGTTCTGATCCGGCTCCCAAAAATGACAAACTCACTGTAGTTAAACAAATATTCCCTTTATTAGGAGCACCAGCAGCCCCGACAAAAAGTCTCTCTCTCTCTCTCTCTCTCTCTCTCTCTCTCTCTCTCTCTCTCTCTCTCTTCTCTCTCTCTCTCTCTCTCTCTCTCTCTCTCTCTCTCTCTCTCTCTCTCTCTCTCTCTCTCTCTCACACACACACACACACACACACACACACACACACACAGCAGGCTAACAAATCTGTCCAGCAGGGAGATGAATAGTTGTCTGCCACATCCATTCATCTCCACTCCCTGCCTTTTATTTCCAGAGGTAGAGTGGGGCTTCGCTAGCAGCGGTAGCTATTCCATCCCAAAGACTGGCTCATAGATTTCCACTGCTCTCCTCTCCTCTCCTCTGCCTTCTGCATATCCACATGTCAGGCACTGGACCCAGCTGTTCCTCCTCTTCCTCATCAGCCACCTCCAGACCTGGGGGCTGTTGACTCTCCATGTGAGGGCTGATAGATGGCCCAGGCACCCTCTCTCTCTCTCTCTCTCTTTCTCTCTCCCTCCCTCCCCTCCCCCCCTCTCTCCCAGCTCCATTCCCTCTTCCCCCTTGGAGTTCCCAGGCTGCTGCAGGGGCTGGCGGCCAACAGGCCACAACACAGCTGTTTAAAACTACCTTTGCTCACCTTTTGGATTAGAAGGTTGGGTTTTTCACCAGATTTCAGTATAACTGGGAGAGCACTTGATCGTCCTTTCCTAATTTTTTCAGACTTGGCAGTAATCTTCTTTCTGGAGAAAAACCACAGTAGAGAAGGAAACATAATTGTATTACAAACATTGAAGAAAATCTTATTTTTCAAAATACAGTGTTAGGGTATTATTTCCTTTGGCTGTAGCAGATGAGATGTCTTGTCATGTTAAAAAAAAATTAACGCATCAAGGAGCAACATTAAAACATCATTTATAAAATAAAATAGAATGAGAACTTGGGTACTGTGAGATGCGCTCTCCACGGGAACACATTAAAAATAATTTGAAGAATCTCTGAAAAGACACTGACATGCTGAGCCTCAGGCTGGCTTTTGATGGCGAACCTATAGCATGCGTGCCACAAGTGGCATGCAGAGCCATTTGTGCTGGCACGTGAGGCGCATGCAGACTTACTTCACTGCGCATGCACATGCCTCACAGGTGATTTTTTTTTCAGTTGGTTTGAGGCCTTTTTTGGCCTCCCAGAGGCTTGGAAAAAGCCTCTGTGAGGCTTTTCAGGAAAAATTATAGGCCCATTTTGTCACTTCCTGTAATACCGGAAGTGACGAAACGGGCCTATAATTCATCCTGAAAAGCTTACAGAGGCTTTCCCCAAGCTTCTGGGAGGCCAAAAAAGGCTTCAAACCAGCTGAAAAATCAGCTGTGAGGCGCAGTGCAGGTAAGGAAGTGGCGGGAGGGGGGGTTGCGCATGCATGCTTGGGGGCGTGGGGTGGGGGACACGCATTGCATTCTGGGTGCTGGTGTGCTAGTGCATGCGCACTGGTGTGCGCGCAATTTTTGGCACAGGAGCCCAAAAAGGTTAGCCACCATTAAACTATGACATCCCAGGCGATCCCAAGATTCTGCTACGAAGATCAAGAATTCCAGAATGCGTCTGAAGTTTTGAAGAGGCTGGACTTTCTAGCAGGACGACAGGTAGAGTGCTTCGTAGCGGGATAATATAAAAGCGTCCTGACCCATCGTGTGAATTGCTGTGAGCTGCCTTGAATTTTGCATAATTTTTAAAAGGCCAGCAATAAATCAAATAAATGAATACTAAGCTTTACTGCTGGCTTTTTTTAGTCATAGCTCAGGTCTGCCCACTTGCATTCCAATACATGGGTGCACTGATGACGTTACCTAGTTTGGGTCATGAAACGCCTGCAAGAAAGCAAGCAAGCTCAGAGAGCATCCAGGACGCCTCAACTTGGGTCAGGCTAAAATAGAACAAAGAGAAATGATCCCATCGAATTATTTGGAAATGTGATTTCTCCCAAGGCCACCTGATTGTATTTCCTTTTAGAACACAGAACAAGGGGGGTTGGAAGGGAGCTTGGAGGTCTTCTAGTCCAGCCCCCTGCTGAAGCAGGAGAGTCTATACCAGTGGTGGGATTCAAATTTTTTTACTACCAGTTCTATGGGCATGGCTTGGTGGGCATGGCAGGGGAAGGATACTGTAAAATCTCCAGGCAGAGGTGGGATTTGCTGGTTCTCCAAACTACTCAAAATTTCTGTTACCGGTTCTCCAGAACTGATCAGAACCTGCTGAATATCACCTCTAGTCTATACCATTGCAGACAAATGGCTGTCCAGTCCAATCTCCAGTTGATGGAGCACCTACAAAACCTGCTTTAAAGAATAGAATAGAATAGAATAGAATAGAATAGAATAGAATAGAATAG